TGAGATAGCGAGACACGATGCAACCCAACAGGTTAACTGCAGCGACTTTCCCCTTTAAGAAATAAACATCAGGGTTGTGTCTCACTCACAATTGTGTCAGTCCAATCAGATTTTAGTTCTTCTGTATATTTTTTTTCTCCAGTTCAAACTCTTCATCAGCAGCTCCTGCAGTCTCACGTTTTAATGTCTTTTATTCGTCACCTGGGATGTGTGAAAACATCAGATTTCCACACAGTAAAAAGTGTTCGTCCTGCTCATAGTTCAGTAATAAAATCACCGTCAGGTTCAATAATGGTTCAGCTTCAGTGAGTCAGTTTTGTGGTCCGTGGTCACTCTCTGGTGCCATGCAGTCGCTGTGTGCAACGAGGCAGCTAAAAAACAGAAGAGCAGAGAGTCGACTGACAAGATGTGAGTCAGCTCGGGGGGTTATCGATTGATGACTCAAGTTTTTTGGGTGGGCAGCACTAATAAACAACATTATTCCAATATATCAAATCCCAAAACTGGAAACCAAACACTTAAGAACAAATCTGAATAGTCGAATATTGGGGTCATCCTCCTCTTCATCTCTAACCTTTCTGCTCCAGAGTCACACAGACCTTCAGTGGTATGTAATATCTTCAGTTTGTTCCCAGCTTGGCTTAACGTACGGAAACCATCCTCTTCAGTGAAAGTGTGTTGGTGAGGTGTGTAATGTGTGTGTAGTATCAGGATCAGAGAACGAACGTCTTACTCTGGTTCCAGTCCAGAATTCACTCTGAATTCCTGCTGGACCTATTTCTGGAAGCTGAGGCAGTTGGTGTTTTTGTCGCATTGCTGTACACTGGGTTTTAGAACTACTGAGGTCCAAAAACTGAACTTGCTAGCAGACTTTGATGCCTCAAATCAAAATAATATTTTTTTTCTAAATTCAACGCCAAGCCACAGACACATCATAACAACGAAGAGTCGTGACAATTATTAAACATCATCAGCAACATCTGAAGGGTCTTCTGACCAAATGTCAGCTGGATCTGATCAATGTGCTCGGAGTAGTACAGGAAAGTATAAAACATGACATTTACTGTTTCCAGTAGGGGTGTTCATATGAAGACTCTTATCAGATGGATTGTTTGTTTCTATGTTATATTGTTTGTTTTTATTTTATATCATTTTATTTCTTGTTGTGGGGGGCTTAATTGTTTTTTTTTAAAATGTGGGAGGAAACGAAGTTACTCGGGGAAAACCCACGCCAACACAGTGAGCACTCTGTATACTCACAGCAAAAGGAGGTCAAAGACTGGAATTTAACCTTCACCTTATAGCTGCAAGGCCACAGTGTTACACTGAGGCACCTGTGTGGCCCTATGACCACCTGATGTCCAGTGTCACGTTCCACCATGACGATTGTTCTTTTAACTGAGATAAATTTTTTTTTCCTTATAGTTTAAAATGTGGGCGAACACGACCTCTTGGAGTAAACCCTGTGTCATCTCAGTTAGTACGCGTGTCCGGTCAAAAACGGCAAAGATTACTCTTTGCGTCCAAACGCAAGCAGCGAACGGCTTGGCACAGTCTTGAAGAGACGTGAGAAGAATCTGTTCACGCCGGTCTTCTTCTGTGGCATCCCC